ATTTTGAATTTCAACATTTTTTTTTTAGCATGTTTCAGCTACAGGAAAGACCTTCATTTAGGATTAGTGATTTCCCATATAGTGTCCAGTATATGAACTTTTGTGAGTGAGTCTCCTTTTGGACCTGTAAAATACCCATAGTCTTCCAGCTGGCATTAGTTTTGACTTTGTTCTATGTTTTTAATTTTTTTAAAATTTCTCATAGCTGTGAGCAGCACCAGAGAGTCTGGAAGCTAAGATGTTGCCTATAAGCTACTGACTAATCTACTTTTTTTTCAAGGGCATGATGATAAGAATGGAACTCCTAGGTCTAGACCATTTTTTCTAATTCTGCCAGTGTTCTGTTCTGTGCCTCTTCTTCCTTCTTTGTATTCTAAAGACGAGATATATTTTCCTCTTTTACACTGAGAGAGTACAACTATTTGACCACAAAACAGTTGAAAAAGTATTGAGCTGTTACTCAAAACTGGATCATTATTTGCATGCAGTCAGTTTATGGCCTCTAAGATGTAATCACATGTCCTTTCTTCTGCAGCTGGACCAGTGTAAAAGCTGAATGCCCCAGCTGCTCACTGCTAGTGGCATAATTCCTCTCAAGCCCTTTCCTCTCAGCACAATGAGAGTTAACTTGCACATTTAGAAGGAAGATTTTTCTAACCTGGTTTGTTTAGAGAGAACCTGGCTAGGGAGCAATTACAAATGCAACTATGCTAGCAAATGGATGGGGTATTCTCCCCAGCCCTGTGATCTCTGGTGGATCACGGAACAGCTGGCAAAGTTACCTCTTCTCTCAATTTAGGTGGAATTAAACCAGAGTTGGAGACTCACAGTTGAGCTGTTCTTTACAGAAAAAGTAAAGTCAATAGAGCCACTAGTCACATACATCTCTTTGAGTAGCATGTGCCATATCTGACCCAAAACACCTACTGCTTTTGACAAAAACCATCTCTTGTCATGTAAAAGACACATGAAATTAGGTGTTCCCAAAAGCAAAAACTTATGGGCTCACTAATCACATACAGGTCAACACCAAGTACAGTGAATTAGCATCTTGAGACAGAAAAAACAAGCCTAAAATCTTAAGCACTCTGAATTCCTATGGAGCAAACACAATCCAGAATGATCCCCTATGCCATAAAGTCTTTTTAAGCATTAGTTCTAAAGATGAGAGAACAGCTCTTCTGCTAAGGCATTCATCCTGTGGCAGTCTGACGAGATTGGTGACCAAATGATCACTAACATTTCATTGATAGGTATCTATTCACTAGAAACTCAATTTATTGCATGGAGGCCAGAGAATCTTGCCAGGTCTTAATGACTTTCAGCTATTACTGGCAATATTGTGACTGTGCCCAAATGTGAAAGGCAGTGTTATCAAATTACCTCTGTGGCTTCAGGGTTCCTTGATTTCCTGTGCTCTATTAACGCATCCACTGAATGAAGGCATAAATACTGCATTTTTCTCTGCCCATTGATTTTTAATTTGCTATTTAGAAACATTAGTCAAAATGAAGGTATTACAAATAATCCCACCCACTATGCAGTACTAATAAACAACTGCTTTTCTGTTGTTTCACCATGTTTCAAAGCTTCCACGAGCTTTTTCTCAAAAGTTACAAGGAAAAAGTTGTGAGGCATGCAGGGGGGTTGTTTATTTGGTTGATTGTTGCGTTTTTTGGTTGGTTGGTTGGTTGGTTAGTTGGCCAGTTGGTTGTGGAAATCATCTGACAATAGTAGTTGATTTTGAGTGGATACATATATCCTACCCCTCAAAAACGCCTCCATTTAGAGAAAATATTAAAATATTTTAACATCACGTTGAGGGCACATTCAGCACAGGTAGATGTGTTAGACCATCCCAAAGCGTAAAACTCCAGTTTTGTGCCAGCTTTACAAATCTCTTGCATGGTGGTTAATTAATGAACACTGGAACTCGAACCTAGGTAAAGTGTTCTGGAATCTGTTACAACCATTACCTTTTTCTATTCTGTTACTTCTCTTAGTCCTTGCTACTAAGCTTCCTGTTTTTCCTCCCCTGAGGAAAAAACGGGAGAATAGTGTTATACATGATTCTGTAAAGTTACAAGTGTAAAGTATTATTTTTACTAGATTATGGTTCTCTAATTACACTACCATAGCAAACCTTTCCCTATGGATATATATTTGATATGTATATATATGATATATGTATTTGATATACAATGAATATATAGTTGTATGTATGGTAAATTTACTGGCATTAATTTACTGGAAATAGGAGATAACTTAGGTGGGTTTGGACAGACAAGATACAAAGAACTATAATTTCTGACTAAGAGTCAGATGTTCCTCAGTTCACTGAATGGTAGCCTATCAACAATCCCATGGTTCGTGATATTCCAGATGGTTTGTTTTCATATTTTATACTTTTGATGCTCCTGTACCATGCCTACAATATTTCATTCAGAGTTTTCTGAATGTAAAAGCTGATTCTGAAAGCTTCAAACAATCCTTTGAAAAGTTTCAATCTATAATGATAAGCTTCATGGAAAAAAATGCCTGTTGGTCAAAGGAGACATTACCTGTCTGCACTTTTACTGTGCTAAAGTTACTATACATTTCCTTTCAAATTTCCCTGCATATCCCTTTTCTCCTTTCTAACAAAAACTTTCAATAGAGCTATTTTTAAAGAAGACATTTTTATTATCATAAATTTAATTAATTTTCCCAAGCTTTCTCTGCATGTATGTTTTACTAAGCATTCTCCTTTTCTGCGATATACTGCGTTTTCTAGCTTTAATGGAAAAAAAATGCACTTTTTGCCTAGAGATCCTGTGGAGATATTCAAAAGCCATCTGGACATGGTCCTGGACAAACAGTTCTAGGTGGCTCTGCTTGGACAGGATGACCTCCCTTCTAACCTTGACCAGTGTGTGATTCTTTGAAATTAGACAGATAAATTAACAGGGATGCTCGACTACACACCTATCATAGGTCTTCATTCACTCATTAAGAAAATCCACAGTCGAGTGCTAATGAAGTCAATATGTGGCAAGTCTGTAACAGCTGCCCTTAACTTTCACTGATAATTGTTCTCATTTAAATGGCATAATATTCAATATACTGTTGTTGAATATAGCAATGGTGAAATTCATGCCTGGGGGGCTACAATGTGACTGAGTTTTAGCCAGAGAAACTGAACTGTGACCTAATGGGGTATTACAGGCCTTTACAACTTTCAGATGCATAGGTCACAATCTCAGTCTGTATAAACATCCATGTAATTATATTACAAGCCATTCTTGCATATATTGAGATCATTCCAAAAGATAATTAAAACAAAATCAATGTGAGCATGATTCAACGGCCTTTAAAACAAGAAAACTACTGATTTCAGTCAGTCTTCTTGTCTGTAAGAGACACAGAATTACATTCCATGTTTGTAATATAGTTCACCTAATTATTAATCACATTTAGTAACCATCAGATTTCTAAGGTTATAACTTAAATCATATGTATCTTAAAATTATGCATTTTTTACATGTATTCCTTTACATATCAGATTTCTTCAGCCCTTGAGATCAGTAGCATTCAGAATCCAGGAACCTAAAATATGATGCAACATGCACATTACCCCAGTACATATCTCTTTAGTTATCTCTCATGTATCCATCTTAATTATATATAATATGTAAAATTTATAAATACATAACCAAACATTTATATCATACAAACATCATAGATTTCTACTGTACAAATATGATGGATATATCCTTATATGTTAATTTTAGAGTGGTAATGGAAAAAATGGATTCTGTTCTATTTGAATAGATGTAACACTTAGCCTTTACAAAATAGATGCCTGACAGAATCCTGAAACAATTAAAGAGCCCCATTCCATATGAGTCATAACAAGAATAAAAATATTTCATTATTAAAGAATAAACCTTTTTATTTCCTTTTCTCTAGGACTGTTTTACAATTCAGTATATTTTTCTGTGAAAATCTCAAATATAAAGTATTTAAGAAAATATTTACAGAAGCAGAAGGTGAAGTTTTCCATAGAATCACATGTTCTGTCACACAAAGAGGAACTAAGAAATAGAGTCAGGATTTCTCAGAGCAGGTATAAATCCCATATTTTCAATAAAGTTTTAAGCTTGCTACCATTGCCTACGAAAGTAAGGCAATAAATCAGCAACTAAAATTTTCAAAGTTTTTTAGGCATTTCCATTTCAATAACTGGATGAATTCTAGATGATTAAGAGCTCCTACAAAGTCAGTAGCGATTAAGAGAATTCAGAAGTATGTAGTATTTAGTTGTTAATCAGAAATAGTCTTACAAAATGTAAAAAATCACTTTGGAACTCAATAGATTATGAAATTTTTCATGTAAGCAGCTATACATATATTTATGACCATAGTCATAAAGCAAGCCTGTCCATTTTTCTGTTAAACATATTTTTCTTTTGACTGTCTGTATCAACTAATCTGCATTCAACACTTCTTTTAAAGCTATGTTTCAAAAATGGCCTTACAAAAAGGATTTTCCTGTTTATACATAAGGATACTTTCTAATATAATCATGAACACAATCCATTTAATCTACACATTTTTAGGTATCTTTCTAAAGAAGGAAAGAAAAGATGACGGAGCTGCTGACTTGCATCTTAGTTCCCCAAGTCAAACAGTAGCCCTTGAAAACTTGCCAGCTGCCTTTGATGGCCAGATCATGCTTGCAGGTATCTAACCTCAGTATTTCCAGTATTTAAGGCATTTCCTACAATAAACATAAGCAAGTACAAATAAATACTATGGTATGAAGGCACCTGTATTTTTTCAGCTTAGGAAAAATTGAATATTTTATTTTGCCAACATCATCATTAGGCTTCAACATGCCAGACTAAATTCACTCCATATCCTTGTACCTCTTTGGGTGCACCATCACTACATACATACACCAACAAAAAAAAAAAAATCAGTTAACTGGGTTTGAAAACATGCTTTGTTTTATTTCCTACCTGAAGAATGTAGCCTCGAACATAGTCTCGAAGTGTCCAGCCTAAGCCATGTAGAATATGCAGCACCTCCTCTTGCTTCAGTACACTGAAGAGTCGGTCAAGCAGTATCTTCAGTCTCACAGGCACAGCCTGAGTACCGTAGAGCATCAGGCTGCTGATGTCAAACACAACATTGGACTGCACAATCTCCACTTGGGTTGGGTGGTAGAGGTGCTGAGTACTAAGTTTGTCCAAGGCTGAAATAAAAGGGGTCAAGTATGAGGAATGAGCAAAGAAAAGACAAGAAAACAACTCCAAAAAGTCATGTATATACACCACACAGAAATAAAGAGTCACAGAATAGTTTGTGTTGGAAAGGACCTTTAAAGGTCCTGATCTTGAATATTTTCATGGATGGGGCGTCTAGAGCCTCATTGGGCAACTACTCCAATGCCTCAACATTTTCAGAAAAATCTCCTTTATATTTCATCTAAATCTACTCTCCTCCTTTCAGCTTAAAGTCATTACCTCTTGTTCAATCCCTACATGACCTTGTCAAAAGTCTCTTCCCAGCATCTTGGTAGGCCTTCCTTCAGTACTAAAAGCCCAATAAGGTTGCCAAGGAGCCTTGCCCAAACTTCTTTTCAACTTTTTCCCTGGCTGAAGGATCTCAGCTCTCCCAGCTTTTCCTCAAAGGACAGGACCTCCATCCCTCTGATCACCTTGGTGGTCTCTTCTGGACTTGCTCAAACAAGTGCAAGTCTTTCCTTTCTGAGAACCCCAGAGGTAAGTCCTGCTACTCTAAGTGGCATTTCACCTGATGGGAGCAGAGAGGCAGGATCATCTACCACACCCTGCTGGCAGTGCTACTTTGGATGCAGACCAGGGTATGGTTGGATTTCTGGGCTGCAGGTGCACGTTGTTGAGTCATGTTCAGCTTTTCATCCACGGAAGTTCCCCAGGTCCTTCTCTGAAGTGCTACTCTCAATGAGTTTATGTCTCAGTGTGTACTTGTGTTAGGGATTGCCCTGACCCAGGTGCAGCACCTTGGCCTTGCTGATCCTAACGTTGATTGGGTCCACTACCTCAAGCTTGCCTAGGTCCCTGTGGATGGCATCCTGTCTTTCTGGTGTGTCAACCATACCACTCAGCTTGGCGTCATCAGCAACCTTGCTAATGGACTCCCTATGCCGTTGACAAAGATATTAAACACTTCTAGTCCCAGTACAGACTCCTGATGGATGCCAGTCATCACTAAGGGATCCTTTTTCACAGATGCAGTCCAGAACAGTCCTAGTTTCCAAAGGTCACAAGTAATTTTAATTGCTATGGCAGAAGGGTTCTCAGGTGACACTCAGACACTGCAATACTCATAGTTCAAGAGAAATTTATGATTAACTAATGACCAAGACTGAAGCAATGCCAAATTGAATGGGACTGTTAAAGGTTTGATAGTTTCTAGAGGAAAAAAATAAAACAGATACTCCCTAAACTCCAGTCTTTTAAACATGTTAAAACTAAGCTCCACGATTTACCAAAAATTTGATTACTGCTACTAGAGCTGGCTAGTTCTTTTCACCTGGCTTTATGAATTCCATGTTATTCACTGATTCGAATAATTTAGAGATAAGGGAAATTTGCAGGATTAAGGTAATTCTTATCCCCTTGTGAAGTTAAAAAAGGTGGAATTGCTTATGACATCATGCATTTTCCTGAGTATTAATGTTTAAATTTAATTTTCTTTCTACTTTATGAACTCTATTGCATCATCTAAGCTTCTTACTGCTTTTTAAAACAAAATTTCTGAGCATTTTAAATAATCTTATAGGGACTTCTCCTGTACTTGGTTTCCTCTCGTCTTACGGTCACTAGAGAGTTCATGTACTCTTGATAAATTGCTTTCTTACATCCAGAGCGCAAAGGCCCTTATCATTTACTTGCTGGCTTCATTCAACACGTTTACTCCAAGGACTACATTGTCAAAGAGTTCCGGTTTCCTCATACTTCATTTCTTGCAACTGAATTGTCTGATCTTTCCTATTTCCTATTCTAGTGGCTAAGTCAACTTTGAATAAATAGCTCTAAATATTAATTTAACATTCAAATAAGATAAGAAATTGGCAAGCCTAGGGACGTCAGTCCCGTATCTCTTCACGGGATGTTTATACTGCAGTACATGAAGAGTGGGATTTTTTCTTCCAAAAGCTCTTCTTACAAAGTACTTCACCTATGTAGGCTTCATGATGTGGGACTAATTTTTTTACAAAGTTTAATGAATGAGAATTTATTGGAGTTTAAACAGGTTAAATACCGTTCTGCCTGCCTTCCCTCCATCTTTCCCCTATTTAATGTATGATCTTTTTCTAGGACGGTTGTTTTGCTACTACCTTAATACATGTGTCATGAAAGTTCACAGCTAGAAAAGACAAGAAAATTGATATTTTTATTCTGCAGGTTGGACAGTATATGTAGTGGTATGTATGTACATGTACCTGAGGGACTGATCAACCATTTAGAAGGAGTAAAATAAAGTTGGGCGTTTTTTACCTAATACTAGCATTACTCACAATAGGAATGGTGTAAATATTATTTATTATTAATTATTAATATATAATATTAATTTCATATAGATACCCTGTAAGAACACCTTCTAACAGACTATTGAAACTATTGAGTGGATCTGGATCTACCTGAGCTTTTCAGCTTCAGTCGTACAGAATGAGAATAGGATCAAAGGATACTAATTGGCTTCTCCAAGTTTATGCAAATTTAGACCAGAACCATGACAAAGACATGTTCAAAGACATCAAAACATACATTATTTTCTGATTAATTGATGCAATTGAATAATTGTTTCTCTCTTCTTAACAGTAAATACCATGCTTGCAGTGTGGAAAAGCAAGTTCTTCCATCTAAAGAAGACTTGTCATGCTGAGGATGTTAAGATCATTATTCTACTGTGGTCTAAGTGAGAATGATTATAAAACATCTTTATCTAAGGATTATTGGGTAGATTACAGATCTAATAGCTTTTAATTTCTTTATAAATGTGATTACAAAATTCTGTGGACATGTACCCACTTCATGTAAGGTGACCACTCTGAGGATAATAGCTTTGGAAAGGTTGAGGTGGAATGGAAAAGGGGAAAAATAAATAAAGTTTTTTTAAATAACTAATCACACTCTTTGACCATCTGATAGAAATTTTTGCAAACTAACCTGTACTATTTAATTAACTTCAATATTTATTTTTTAGCAGCATGATCTGTAGACCTCTGCTTCTCAACACACACACACACACACAAACAAAAATACTATTAGCATGATATTGGAACAACATTCCAAGTGACAATGATATTATCTCCAATTTTGATTTGTAGCTTTATTATGCATATACATAATAAGCAGTGAATTTTATCCTTTTCAAGTACAAGTCAAGATATGTAGTAAAATGTGGAATTTATAACACATCAAAACATACATTATTGCATGGCTGCATAAGAATATTTGTGAGCCAAAGACAAATCTCCTGCTACATGAAAATAAAATGGTAAATTAAATGAAAAGGAACACAGTTGTGTTCATATAGGAAATAAGAGTACTGAAAAATTCTGAAATTCTTTATGAATATAAACTATAGATACCCCCTCAAATTGCCAGAAGAATTAAAATTCTCACTCTAACTTGTAATTTATAAAAAATTTTTGTGTTCCTTTAAAAGATTGTTAAGGATGTAGCTGACAGAGAGAATTTTTGTAGCATTTCTCATTTCTCCTCTGGTACTCTTAATGAACTGATGTCAGTGTTCTAGGTGGATTCAAGAGGCCATTTATGTTGATGGACACTTTTTTAGGCAAGAGGTAAAGAAGGACCTGTCTTGTTGTTTTTCTCTAAAGAAAGGAGCATTAGCTTTAGCTTTCCTGCAAAATTTCTGATTCTTGACAAATCTCTGAGTAAATAGTTGTATTCTGCTGTCCTGAATTGCCCACATAATTTCATGTGGATAATGCAAAGTGATTACATTGTGCTCTAAACTACCGGTTTAGTTTATACATGCTAATGAACAATGAACTGTTTTACAGGTGAATATTCTCAACAATATCTGCAATAACTTATGATTTCACGAGCAATTAAGAGGTTTCAAGATTAAAAATGCTATACAAAAGAATGTACTCGATCACAGCTGAAAAATGACATAAACAGACATCTCTTTATTAAGAAGTTATCAGTGGCTGAATATCACAAAGCACACATTAAAAGTCCCTTCTTGGTGCAGCATGAGCATTACTCACATTTTAAACAGTTCCAGTGGGATCAAAAGTTCACCCATACATGTTTGAGACATTTTAGCTGCAACATACACAATCTTTTCCAAAATCATGACTATGAAAAGTACCTCTTCTTAACAGTGCAATTTAATTGTTGTCACTGCCCTGATAGTGACTCTGATATTAATTAATTCAGATTATGTGAAAAGGTGTTCTCTGATACAGAAAGAAGAGATCTAACGGATCTTAAAATCTTGCTGAGCAATCAACATCTTCATGGGATGGCCTAAAAATACCCTTATGCTTTACTCTGACAACATTCAGTAAAGTAACATTTGTTACTTGTTCACAATTGGTAAATTCCCAATTTCAAGAACTTGTTTCAGAAATTTAAGCTGTTAAAATGAGAGGGTGGAACAGAAAGGATTGTGCAGAGGACACTAAAGAAGATTGCCTTCAACAATGAAAAACTACTAACAGGGTAATTAGTATAGGAATTAAGAACATTTCAACAATGTTTTTCCAGCTCAGAAGTATCAAACATGCACCATAATAATTGAGAACATTTTAGCTGGAAGAAACCAAAAAAACCCATCTAATCCTATTACCTGAGCACTCCAGGAGCTCCTTGAACAGCAAACAAAATTCCCCAGATTGTAGAGAGACTCTGCTCAGTACAATCTGAAATGTCAAAAAAACTTTGAAATTGTTGCAATGTCAATCTTCAATATTAGAGCGTCAATATTACAGTCTGCAGTACTCCTATTATGTAATATTTTAGAAAAAAAACCCAACTTTGGACATCTTTGCAACAAATTAATGAACAAACTTTTATGTTCTATTCATAGTGGGGTTATTTTGTTTTGTTTTGTTTTTTAATGTAGTAAAGTAAGGAGGGAAATGTATCTTGTTTATATTTTACTGGAGTTAAATTGAATTTAAGTACAAAGGATACATTAAAATAAGACACAACTTATTCTTAAATTTAT